CTTGTAGTTTCTTTAAAATAAATAACATGAATTCACCTTGTACAATGTAGATAAAGAATATATAAGTCAAAATAAATTTCAAATTTAACAAATTGCATTATTCATTTTACTGAAATCAGATAATTGGCATAGATTACTACATGTAAATACGTTAAATGTTAATACTTCTTTGTAATTGTAAATTATTTTCGTAGCAAGTATGTAAAAACCACTGCACGAATATTCCAAATTTAAACAGCTATGGAAAGGTTTTGCTAGTATAGTGGTTTAAATACGATGCGCGCGCATTCTACACCTACCATATGACAGATTGTCAAAAGTACCATTTGATAGTGTTAATATTTAGGATTTATTAAACTTTTGTAGATTTATAAGTTATTACTTATCATTTATCTGCGTAAATATTAAAAATGACAGCAGTAAGTTTTATGATTACGTTAAATTATTTTTTTCTAAATTGTGTGGTTTATGTTTTAAGGTTATGTACAAATAATTTGAGTTAGTCCTAAAACAACTGCAAAATATTTGAGTAAAAGGACATGTGTGTTATCTAAAAAAGACATTCTCAAATGTAATAGTAGTATTATCATATAACAAAATGATATTTATTATTAATATTTATTTCTTTATTTATTGTCTCAGGAATTAAAAAAGTTTCTTTATGGACTTCTAAGTAGCGTGGAAGGACTTCACAGTATATTGATAACAGATAGGGATGGAGTACCTGTGGTATTGGTAGCTGATGAAAAAGCACCAGAATTAGCTATGAGAGCAAGTTTCTTGTCTACATTTGGCATGGCAACAGATCAAGGAAGTAAACTGGGACTGGGAAAAAATAAAACAATTATATGCATGTACAGCAGTTACCAGGTATTGAGGAAATATTTGTTATTTTTATTAAAAATTGTTATTTTCTACTTAATTTCAATGCAGAACAATAATATCTATATATATATAAATACTTATAGAAGTATCATATAAAATCACATGTAATTTTTTGATTCATTTTTAACATATATATTATATGTGGATAGTTTAAGTGTTAATTTATGTTACAGGTAGTTCAAATGAATAAATTACCACTAGTGATTAGTTTTATTGCAAGCCATAATTGTAATACAGGTCATATTTTATCTTTGGAAAGTAAAATTGATCCAATTTTATGTAATTTAAAAAATGCAGTAGTGGAAGCCTGATGGTTACCTGTTGTGCATTATGGG